CTCGGGGCGGGGACGGGCCGCGAACGGTGGGGCAGGCTTGCCGGCTTGAGGCCGCTGATCCGATGGGCAAAGCAAACGCGGGGACCTGAGCGTGGAGCTTGCAGGGACTTCTCATCCCTGCAGCCCCCTGCACCAGGACAGGCTGGGGGCTGACCTGCTGGAAAGCAGCTCTGCAGAGAAGGACCTGGGAGTGCTGGTGGACAACAAGTGAAGCATGAGCCAGCAGTGTACCCTTGTGGCCAAGAAGGCCAATGGTCTCCTGGGGTGCCTTAGGCAGAGTGTTGCCAGCAGGTGGAGGGAGGTGATCCTGCCCCTCTCCTCAGCCCTGGCGAGGCCTCACCTGGAGTCCTGTGTCCAGTTCTGGGCTCCCCAGGACAAGGGAGACCTGGCTCTACTGGAGAGAGTCCAGCGGAGGGCTCCAAAGAGGATGAGGGGACCGGAGCATCTCTCCTCTGCAGAAAGGCTGCGAGAGCTGGGCCTGTTCAGTCTGGAGGAGAGAAGGCTGAGAGGTGATCTGATCAACGTGTATAAGTATCTGAAGGGGGAGTGTCAAGAGGATGAGGCCAGTCTCTTCTCTGTGGTGCCCAGCAACAGGACAAGAGGCAATGGGCACAAACTGAACCACAGGAAGTTCTACCTAAACCTGAGAAAAAATTTCTTGACTGTGAGGGTGCCTGAGCACTGGCACAGGTTGCCCAGAGAGGTGGTGGAGTCTCCTTCCCTGGAGATATTCAAAACCCGTCTGGATGTGATCCTGGGCAGTGTGCTCTAGGTGACCCTGCTTGAGCAGGGGGGTTGGACTAGATGATCTCCAGAGGTCCCTTCCAACCTCAACCATGCTGTGATTCTGTGATCTTTCGTAAGAAGCTTTTTTTAACCTTGGTGGTACCTGGATCCACATGTCAGAATAACTTCCAGGTGTCTGTTGCGTGCAGAAAACGTACCGTGTGCTCAAGTGCCCCTCCGGAGCCCAAGCTCTGCTCCTGATAACGTGAGCCTTCGTTATCTCTAGTGGAAAAGAAAACAAACTAGCAAAGCAGCAGCTTCGGCCGGTGAATAATTGTCACCCAGCTTCTGCAGACGCTGCAGCCTTTCCCTGTGCCCAAAGCCAGCCGCGACCAGTTACCATCTACGGCGCCCAGGCGTTTCAGGGAGCGTCACCAGCGCAAGGGCAGCTCCTCCTTGGGGCTCTCCGGGTTACAGGTGCTGGCAACGCCTGCAAAAGTGGGGCAGGCCGTGGAGGCCGAGGGGGAAACGAGGGGGAAAACGGGGACCAGGTGAAATGCACTTTTCACTTTCCTAGAGGACCCTCCCTGGTGCGTTTGCTTCCTTTCAAAGGCCTCGGTGCAGAGGACGAATGGGATTAATTTCAGGTTGAATTAATTGATAAGGCTGATTGGGGGAACTGAGTGCAAGCCTTTAATTAGACTGCAAGGATGAGCTTGTGTGTGGGGGAGAGTGAGAGCTGCCTGTTCTTTATTTTTTTTTTTTTTTTTAAAAAAAAACTGTTCTTGTGTTTCCTGACTTGGAGCCTGTGACCTTGGAGGGTTTTTGTGATGTGTTTTGGAGGGGCTCTCCAGAGTGGGGTAGGCCCTTCTGAAAGGGAGCTGAATCAGTAAAAACCACTCATGTGAGTGGAGGAGCCAAGACCGAGGGCATGGCTGGAGGGACGTGTTCCCATGTGAAGATCCCTTTTGACCCTCTCAGCTCTATACTGGAACAGCTGGATGTGATCCTGGTGTTGCGGTGAGCTGTACACCCTTGAGCAAGTGTTAAATATCCCTGGGTGATGCTTAAATATGATGGCCCTGTGCCTCTCCTTGCTCTTTCCTCTGCCTTTCCGCACCATGGGTGGACAGGGGAGGATTTATTTTATGCCTAATGGCTAAACCCTTATCCGGCAAGTCATTAGTGTTTCTCGCAGCCTGTCCTTGCTCCTCAAACTCGTTCTCTGCTCTGACACCTCCAAAAGCAGCACTTTGTCTCCGTGACGGACAGGGAAATTTGCTCGAGGAAGAATTACTTGCTGGAAGAGGTGCACGTGGGCCCGTGGCAGGCGAGTGGTCCTAGCGGGCAGAGCGGAGCCGGCTTGGGACGTGTGCGGGAACCTCCCACGAGTGTGGGACTCGCCGGAAAACTCTTCCAAGGTCAGAGAGACTCCGGCCGCTGTGTTGTTGCACCTGCTAGAGCAAAACAGGTGGGAAATTTGTGGCCAGCAACTAATGGAGGAACGAGTGCCTCCACCGGAACGAATAGCCCATTTGTTTAATTAAACGGTGCTCAGACCCCTCCCTCCTCACGTGGCCCTGCCGTCCCCTAGGGCACCTGCTCCCAGGGCAGGACGCTGGGACAGGGGAAGGATGGACGGATGGATGGATGGACGGAGGTGTTGTGGCAGGCTGGGCCACCCCGCGTGGCCTGGGGAGGCTTTTTTCCCCTCCGGCTGAGCTGCCTGGCGAGGACGTGTCCCTGGAAATAGCGTGCAAGCGGTCCGCTTCTCCGCGGTGCGTAGGTATAACCGCCCGTGCCCGGCGGCGCTTTCCGAAGCAGCTGCTGTAATTATTGGGGCAGAGAATTTGAGAGAGTCTCGGCCGGGAATTTTATATCAAGTCATTGCAGCGCCTGTTGCAAAGGGAGACTCCTCCTGGGAGCTGCCGGCGTGTGCTCCTGGCAAGGACTTGTACTGAGCAGTTTTGATTTAGCTGTGGTCCAGATTTTGTCAAAAGCGGGCTATAATTTCTTGGGCCTTATCTCTGGTGCTGCTTTGCAAGGCGCTTTGAGATAGCGTGAATATGGGAAGTGCCCAGGCTTTAAAATCACAGCGATTCAGTGGGTGAGATGCTGCCAAGGCTTTCTCCCTTCCAACCCAGTGATATTTACTCACAAGAAAAAAATATATGTGCGGTGGGATCTAACACCACTGGCAAGTCAGGGTCACCGCATGGAGCGCTTTGACTTTCTACAAGTGATAAATAACTTGCTGTTGTCTAAGTCGGCAGTAAATGGCCTGATGCCATAATATAAGAGTATCCAGGCTATTTTAAGGATCTCTTTGCGGGAAAGCTCAGCATTGATTTTCTTCAATGTTATGCTCGAATTCCCGGCATTTTCCCCACTGAAAGTCCCAGATTTTGTCTGCCTGGAGATGGCCAGCAAGGGGCTGAGATTTCCAGAGGTAACAAATAGGTTTAGATGGGTTCCCTAAGTGCACCTGTTCTGATGGGAACTGGAAACTTCGATTCCTTGGGTGTCACTGCCGCCAGTGTCCTTGGGGAGAAGGTCCGATCAAACATAAATCGGGATGGTTTTGTTATCTTCAGTCATTCGCCTGGCTCTGGAGAGGGTTCTCCATGTAGAAATAGGGTTTGTTTCTGAAGCCAGCAGCAAGAGCCCCGAAGGAGTAATTTCCTTCCTCGGAGGGAGAGAGCCCGCGGGTACCTTGCAAGGCGTACCAGAGGGTGTCTAAAAGCCAGCCTTGTGTTGGCAGGGGGCGGGAAGCTTCTGCGTGATTTTCTCCTTTATTTATTCCATTTTGGGATCAGTAAGTCAGTCGTGGTTATGATCGTGTAAATCCCTTTGTAATCCTGGCTGGAGCATCAGCTGCTCTTGTAAAAAAATTTATGGGGCCGTTAAAGCGTATGAGACAAAGCCGTAAAGGGATTTATGAAGTGGGAGATGCACAGATGGCTTCATTGCGGTCTTCATCGGCGGCCTTGGAGGCTTAGAGGCTTTCACCCAAAACGCCCCTTTGGAGGACGAGGAAGCTCCTGCCTCTTTCCTGCCGAATCCTGGGGCCAGAGCGTTTCCACAATGGCTCTGTAGTGAAACGGCACCGTCCCATCACTTTTTTTCACCCAGTGTCTAGGATTTCATGGCTCCTTCTGACTTACTTGCGGGCAAACTCCAAGGAAGCCAGGAGCTGGTTTCAGTTCCCGACGCAGAGCACGGAAAGCCGTGGCGGGGGGATATACGGCGACCCGCGAGCTCTTTGGCACGCTAGCCCTGGGAAGCACCAGCCTGGCAGGATTTCAGGCCACGATGAGGCTCTTAATAAAGCAATCAATAGCCATTGATTGCTAGGCCACATGCCGGTGGTGGAGAGGCTGCCGGGGCCGCGGGAGCGGGCTGGGCACGCAAGGGACCTCACGCTCATCCGCGGTGCTGCCGAGCCGGTATTTTATCGGGCCATACAGGTTTTCCATTATAATTGCTGCACTCTGTCAGTTTAGTAGCAGCCACAAAACTATCAGAGGCCTTTTTGGGTAAATAAATATTTCCAAAGTAATGCACGAAGCCTCATAAAGTTGCCGCTTGCCTTACTGTAAAACCACCTAATTGTAGTTCGGGTTTGTAAGTGCACCCCAGTGAGCTGAACGCTCATCAGATGCTGGCAGGAGCTGCGGTGACGGGCTCCCCGCTCAACCTGCTGCGCGCAGGTGAACCGAGAACCTGCAGCAAGGCCCGTCCGTCCCAGGAGAGCGCTGGAGAAATCCGTGCCAACTTGCCAGCCCTCCTGGTTTACAGCGTGGCTCTTTGATGTTTCTTTAAAGCCCCAGCTCCTGGAGTCATGGTATTTTGTAATACTCTGAGCTTTGGCCGGAAGTAAAACAGTCCGACTTCCCTGCTCGTGCAGAGAAGAAACTTGAGTACATGATGTGATAGAACCTGAAAAGCTCTGAAATGAGCAGAGGATCCCCCGCTGCCCCCGCCCCTGCAAAAAAGGAGGCTTTTGAGCTCTAGGATACTTACACTGGGCTTGAAAGTCTCTGAAGCTCAGCTTGTGCCTTGTGTTGAAGGCCTTGTGCCTTTTGGAGGTGGTGTCCCCAGCTCTCCTCTGTGGCGCATCAGCAGCCCTTGTCATGGGCTTGCCTGGCCCCTGCACAAGTGTGTCCTCTCGCCTAACAGCCCCCACTTCTGAGTTTTTGGTTGTATTTATTTACTACGTATCTGTTGGGCTGGATCAGGGCCTGTTACACCAAGCTCGGTGCAGAGCAGCCTGCAGCTGCCTCCAAGAGCTTGTGGTCACGTTAGCTGAAGCAGGGAGAGCTGTGACGTGCGAGGAGATATATTTTCCTGTCTTCCTTCCATGAGCATGGTATTTTGTTCCCCTGCTGTTATGATCCCTCCCCCTTTTTTCTCACTATCATTTTTCTCTTTTTTAACCTGGTGGGTGTCGGAAGTGATTTTTTTTGGTTTCTTTCCTTCAGCCGTTCCTTTCCCAACCTAGTTACTCCCCCCTCTCATCTCTTTCTTCACCCCTTTCAAGTGCTGAGCCCCAGCCGCCTTCCCTGACCTTAACACCAGCCTCTGCTCCAGAAAGGTGTCACGTTGATAAATATTGATACCTACCTGCAGCTCTACCCAACTCGGCTGCTAACGCGTTTGATGTGCCGCCGATAAATAATGGCCTGCTCCAGCTTCCCGTGTGCACTCTGTGGACTGGTCTCAATCTGTCAGGTTATAAGTAATATGCCCCACATTTCCATAAGTGGAGCAAGCAGAAAGATAATGGAGGAGAGATGGAGGTCACTCCAGTAAGAGGAGATGATATAATGGTAGGGTGGAATGAGGAGACAAGAGGGAGATGTTAAGCTGTGGAGGTGATGTAGGAGTAGCAGCAGTTTTAACTGATATGGAGAGGAGAAAGTGTAAGGACACAGGGGTCTACAGTTCTTGACCATGGAGTAATTGCTGTTGGGTTTCTCTCCCTTTTGCCACCTCTCCTGTATTTTTCATGGCCAGGGTCTCCAGGGATGAAGATCTACATCGACCCCTTCACTTATGAGGACCCCAACGAGGCTGTCCGTGAGTTTGCCAAGGAGATTGATGTATCCTTTGTGAAGATAGAAGAAGTCATTGGAGCAGGTGTGTCTCTTTCCCCTGCTGCCTATCCCTCCCAGCCTTTCTGTCTCACCGGGACAGCAGCAATTTTCTGTATATGCACACAGAGTCCTTCACCGCAAAGTGTGCCATCTAAGCAAACCCCCCAAGGAAGCCTTGAGACAGCAGGCTTTCCTGGATTTATGATGGATTGGGGAGCACCAGGTTGGTTCATGCTGCCTGCTTGCTGGGGGTACTTGGGCGAGCAGCAGTAAGCCCAACGGGCATTAGGCCTAACTTACCGCTCTGGCTATAGCTCACCTATCTCCTTCAGGTGAAATGAGACCATATTCCCATGCCTGCCTCAAACCAGACCTCTGGAAGTTCTTCTGAGGTTTGGAAAAACTCAGTTAACTTACTCACTGATTGACCTTTGTGGATTTCCTAGTTAGCTTCAAAAAGATAACATGGAAAAGGTAGACCTCTCGCTAGCCTGTGCCGTATTCACATCCATATGTATATATACACACACATCCACATCTCTGTATATCACCTGTGCCTCCTTTATTTCAATTTTTCAAATAACTGTCATGCCAGTAGAGGAAAAGCTGGAGGGAAGCTCCAAAGAAGCAATGAGCTGTTTCAATCAGAATCAAGTTCAGCAATGTATCAGTTGCCTTTTGTTGCTCATCGAGGCAAAGTGCCTGTAAACCTGGCTTAAACGTAATCCGTCCACAGGCAGACTTTGACTTGGCAAAGGAAAAGCTCTCCAAGTGAAATGACAGGAAACATTCTCTGTATTTTAAATCAGAGTACAGAAACGAAAACAACCCAGTTATTTTCCCTTCCAAGATAAGTGATGCGCAGAAAAGAAACAAAGATTATATTTGAGGCAGGCCTTAAACGTTAGTCCTCCCTCAGGCTCTTAACTCTGCAAACCCTTCTGAAGGGATGTGCAGGAGCTGCACCCAGCCCTACGTCTGTCAGCGTGTGGGTTCTGTCGACTGGGAGAAGACTAAGCGCTGAGGACTAAACGTGTCCTCAGCAGCAGACATTGCCCCTTTGAAAGAGGGCTGGCGGGTGGTTTTATAGAGAAGAGCACTGCTTGCCTGTTAATTGGCTAACGTTTATTAGCCAGTTGGTTTGCAGAGCAGGCAGCTCAATGGTACTGCTACTCTTTCCAATGTTTTATGTGGAGGAGGAGGAGGTGGTAGCGGATGGTCTTGCAATTGCAGGGGAGTTTGGAGAAGTATATAAAGGACGTCTGAAACTGCCCGGCAAGCGGGAGATCTACGTGGCCATCAAAACATTAAAGGCTGGCTACTCGGAGAAGCAGCGGAGGGATTTCCTGAGCGAGGCCAGCATCATGGGGCAGTTTGACCACCCAAACATCATTCGGCTGGAAGGGGTGGTGACCAAAAGCCGGCCTGTCATGATCATCACAGAATTCATGGAAAACGGGGCCCTGGACTCTTTCCTGCGGGTAAGGAGGGCCAAGGGCCGCTGTTGAGCCAACGTGATGCGAATGGTCAGCGTTGGCAAAGGGGGAGATGTTTTGGCTGGGCTGTGGGATTTGGGAGCGCGATCTCTGTTGCCCTTCAGTAGCATTTCCAGCACGGATGGGAGCTGATTCACAGGCGCGCAGTGGGGCAGGGCCTGGAGCCAGCCTGCTGTGTCAGAGGGCTTTTGGGGCCTCTTGGGGAAAGGGAGCCGAGCTGCCAGCACCTACCTGCAAAGAAGGTAGAAGCAGGGAAAAAAGTGGCAAGCGAAAAGAGGAAAGAAGGAAAAGAAAGGGAAGGAAAGAGGGGGGGAAAAGAGATACGGAGTAAGGGAGAAATGGAGTTAAACCACTTAGGTTGAGATCTTCACAGGAAACTGCAGAACAATTTAGAATTTGGTGTCCAGTTCTATAAATCCACTCAGTTTCCTTAGCTCAGAAGCCAGGTAACTTATAAGCCTAATTTCAGCCTTGATGTAAAAATAGCAGCACTAATTAGCACATTGGCTGCTCAGAAAGGTAGAAAAGTAGGTCATCGGTTCTGCTCTGTGGAGGCTCCCTCAATATAGGGATCCCTCAGCCTTGTGGGGAGCACAGCGTGCCGGGGTGCTGGTTTTACTGCAAGCAAGTAGAGAAGGCGGAGAGGGATTTGGAAGAAGAATAATCATGGCCTGAGAAATATCGGAAGCTCCCAGGTACCCCTTGGGCAGGTGGTGGAGCAGAGGCGCCATGGCCAGGCCTGGTGGGCTGAGCTGGAGGTGCTGGCGTTGGGCGTGGGGCAGCCGGCGGGAGCAGGGGGAGCAGCGGGAGGAGAAGCCCTGCTCCGGAGGAGCTCTGCTTTTTGCAGATAGGATGGGGGAGTGATGGGGTCTGCAAGGCAACGTCTCTGTGCCGGTCCCTGTTCAGAAGGACCTGGCTGTAACGATTTCAGACGGCTCTCACTGACTCGTGTGCCTGCTCTTTCTGCTCACAGCAAAACGATGGGCAATTCACAGTAATCCAGCTGGTGGGGATGCTCAGGGGAATTGCTGCTGGCATGAAGTACCTTGCAGAGATGAATTATGTTCACCGCGATCTGGCTGCCAGGAACATTCTGGTTAACAGTAACCTGGTGTGCAAAGTGTCAGACTTCGGCCTCTCGCGCTACCTGCAAGATGATACGTCCGACCCCACCTACACGAGCTCGTTGGTATGTACCAGTCGTATCCCTGAGCAGTAAATCTTTGAGCCTCTTGTCAAGGGCAGTTCAGTAAAAATGACAAAGATTTGTCTTGTGCAGGATCTCCCATGCCTGCCTTGCACCTTGCTTGCAAAGGCTGGCGCTCCTATTTTCCTTGCTCTCATTCCTTTCCCCCTCCGTCATCCTCTTCTCCTTCCTTTCCCTCCCTCCCTTTCCGAGTTTTTTGTCTCCTTCCTCCCCAAAGCTCATTTCTGCCCTTGGCTGTTTTCCAAATGAGCCTTTTCTCTCTCCCCTGGGGAGAGAAGGTGCGAGAAAGAGTCCCTGTAGTGCAGACCTGGAAGAGGGGTACAGGAGGCAGAGAGGCAATAAACGGCTTTCTTGACCGTATAGCTAGAGCGTTTTAACTGGCATTCCCACAGCACTCCAGTTCTGGTCTACTTTTCTCTTCTGGAAATGTGTTCCAGGCATTAATTAGAGAGACAAGTCTAATGGGAGCGCCGCTACTCCCCAGCCACTGTTTAATTAACTCGTTCACAGATAATCCCAGCCCCTCTTTGCTCCCTGTTGCCTCTTCCGCGGTCCCAGGGGCTCGGAGCCCTCCTCTGGCTCCCTGCAGCCCCAGGGATGGCACGACCCACTCCCCCTCCAGCAGGATCCATCTGCATCCGGACTTGGGGGCCTGGGAACCGCTGGCTTCCGCCCAGAGATAATGAAACGCAGTGGTGCAATTGCGCTATTCATTACCACTCTGACAAACGCGTCCCGCTTTTTCCTAACTCTACCTGTACAAGTAGTTTAGACGGGGTCACTAAGAGATTGCTAGGCAGTATGAGCACGTTGTAATCCCATGCAAGCGGGCCCCGGAGGCTGTAGCCGGCGTTATGGATGAACACAGGAGAAGCGTATGAGCAAGCTGTTGACCTGGTGGACTCCGTAATTGATTAATCATTTATTAAAAGAGCTAATTACCTTCTTAAGTCATTATGAACAATTTGTAATACAGCAGTAAAAAGCGTGGCTGGGCCACACCTTGGCGAAGGAGGATGAAGAGACCACATCTTCTATTGGCAGCGGTAAAAAAAAGGGCTCGCTGGTTCCCACTGAGCGATGAAGCAGGTCATGTCCCACTGATTGAGGAGACCAGTATAAAATCTGGGTTTCCTGGGTCTGGGGTGTCTTGGTGATGAATGAAGCGAGCTGATGTTTCCCAAGCAGTGACCGTAGGGGCTGACTCCGTGTCATTGGGGATCTCAGAGCAGTGTGGAAAGGTGTGAGTTGGGTAAGGGAGCTTGCTAGGACAGGCCTCCTAGACCCAACGCCTGTGAAAGCAGTTTCTTCTGCCCACCTTCCCCGGGCAGGGTCTGCTCTTGGCCAGACGCTTGGGCTGGATCTGGCCCCTCTGGCCAGGAGACTCAGGCCACTGCGTGGAGTCGGAGTTGCTGCATGTAGTGTGATTTACGACAGGAGCCCTGAGGAGATGAGCGCTGTTTGGCTTGCATCAAATTGAAGTAAAGGAATGAAAGAGTCGTGCAGCTCCAGAGCCTGTGTAAACCAAACCTGTGGGCTCCTGGACGGGGTCTGGTCCTCTCCCGCGCTGTGGGAACAGCAGCACTCCCTGCCCAAGACTGTCCTGCAGGCAGTAGCCCTTCAGTGGAAGAATGGCATTTTTCTTGTTTGATGTGCCCAGCAGAGTAGCCTTTCCCCATCTTTAGAGATAAAAGAGATTCTCATCTGTGTTTATATTTAATTTAGGCCATAATAGATCTTCTCAGCAGCTGGGGAATGGTGCTCTGCCTGCGATTACATCACTCTGCCTCCCACAGCAGGTTTTTAGCTCTGGGGGAAAGGCAGGAAAAACAACCTAGCAGTTAATTTCTCCATTTGTAGTTATTCGAATCAAATTTTTGCCATTCATCCTTAAAGAGCAGCTGACGCTTCATTGGAAAGGCTATGGAAAACAATTACGCTAAACAATTTACTCGGGGCAGAATTGCATTGTAAATATTGCCCATTTCTTTTTTTCTTTCCTTCATCCCTTGCTTTTTTTTTTTTTTTTGCACTGTTACCTCGATCACACAAAGAGGACAGGATTGGGCTTTGCCAATGGTGGACGGTGGGACATGAGTGGAGGGCAGCTGATGGCTGGAGACCCAGAGCTTGTTTGTGAGCTTTTAGGAGACTAGGTGCTAACCCCCTCTCCTTTCTAACAAGGCAGTTTCCCATGATGTCTCATCTGCGTGTGACAACTTCGTCTGTGGTTGTGCTGGCAACATCACCAGATCAGAGCGGGGAAGGGGAGGAGACTCTCCTTTTGGGGCTTCGACCTCTTGCGCGTGTTTTGCTGCGACGGCTGTGATGATTCGCAGGTGGTTGGGTGCTTGCGTGTGCCACGCTTGCTGCCTTGAGCAGGGTCTGCAGGGCAAGGACGTGCGTCGCGTGAGCTGGTGAGCACCCAGCAGGGTCTCTGCTCTTCTTCTCCTCGTTCACTGCCCCCAAGAAGTATGGTGGCCCGTAGCATGGTGGTTTGTGGTGGTCAGAGGGCTTCATCCTGCGGGCCCTGGCAAAGCCAAAGCCATCAGCATAAGGCAGGTATTATCTAATTAAAGCTCAGGCCAAGGCCAAGCTCTGAGGATACCTATAGCTCCTTATCTGAGGCGAGTCCTATCATGGCCAGCAGTCACACAGGTTGTCAAGGTAGCCCTTGTCACCCCTTCCCTGCTGTCTCCCTCGGGAAGGGGCCCGAAGACAGGGGACCCTGAGTGCCTGGTCGTGCTGGGTGGTGAGGATCGCTCGGGGCCTAGCGCTGGACCCTGCGCCAGGGGTCCTACTTGCGTGCACGGAGGAGCGAGCAGGCTCCCATGTCTGCTGGTCGCTCCCGGGCTGGGGGACGCTGGAGCACCTCCAGGGTCTC